TTCATCTAGAGGATAGGTTATCAGTAGTGAAAAGAGGTTGTAATGATTTTGATTCAAATCCTAGCCAGCTTCTAAGGAAGGAAAGGAGCTATTCACAAATGTTGTGTTAAGAAAAGTAAGAATTTGGGGCCTCCTCTGGTGGCGCAGGCAGTTGAGCGCCGTGCTGTGAAGCTGTTCGCAGCCTTTGCAGCACCAGTTCTATCCTGGCCAGCCAGCGAGGGTCCCACATGGTGCAGCAGACCTCTCCTGTCACGCCTGCAGCGCCCCTCAGCAGTGTATTTCGTCAGTCTGCCTGTTCTGTTCTCTGGTGAATCCTCTCACCCTCCCACGCATCTGGCCTGTATGTACCCTGGTTCTTGTATAAATAAATAAATCAAAAAAAGAAAGAAAAGAAAAGTAAGAATTTGCTTAGATGTGCAGAATGAAGAACAAATGAGATGGAAGGAGAGCGGAATAAACACAAAAAATGTTCAGACTGGGGCCGGCAAACAAGGGAAACCACCACAGCCTGTGTTTTTCTTAGTTTCTAAGGATATCACTGCATTGTTGACAGCAAATATTCTACAGTAGTCATGGCTTAGTTTATTTCCAGGAGAGTGCTCGTACGCTGACTGAATAGAAGTTTTGATTCTTAAAGTGTTGGTCCAGCATTTGTTAATTAGAAAACGTGTTTGTGGAGCCCCATCATTTCTCAGCCTCATGGTTCTGCGATTGAAAAACGTAAGTTTTTAAGGAGCCAGAGTGTCCACATGCTCTTGAAGAAGGAAAACTGGTGGACTTAAAGTGCTGAGAGATTAAATTCTCTATTATCAGTGTGAGGGTAGGCCAAAGTGTGCGCAGCAGAACACAGTCAGGAAACAGAATCACATCTATGGAATCATCTGTCAGAACTCCTTGGGGCTCTTGCATCCCCAGATCTGGTTTGTTTTCCAGACTGAGGTGCTTTGAGCAACTTTTTCTTTTTCTTTTTTTTTTAAGATTTATTTTTATTTATTTATTTATTTATTTATTTATTTATTTATTTATTTATACATACAAGCACTGGGTACAGTCAGAAGCGCGGGAGGGTGAGAGAATTCACCAGAGCCAGAGCGGGGAGCAGAGCAGGCAGAAGGACCGAAGCACACTGCTGAGGGGAGCAGCGGGCGGCAGGAGAGGTCTGCGCGCCATGCGGGACCCTCCTCCGGTGGCCGGGGAGCAGCCGGGGACCAAACCGGCGCTGCAGAGGCTGCGGGCAGCTTCGCAACCCAGCGCTCAACCGCTGCGCCACCGGGGAGGCCCTGAGCAACTATTTCTTTAAATAAATTTTCTGTGCCTTTGTCTTTCTCTTCTGACATCACTGGGATGGGGATGTTACTCCTCGAGGGTATCCCAAAGGACTCTTGTGTTGTTTTCTCTGTTCCCCTCTGCACTGCCGAGTGTGTCCCCCCGTGTGTCGGGGCTGTCCTCTCCATTTCCCGCCTGTGTCTGCTGTTGGGGGCCTCAGTTGTACTTTTTAAATTTGGTTTCGGTACTTCTTAGCTCGGTTTCTTCTAATTTTAACTGCCTCCGGTTTCTTCCCTCCCTATTCTGTTCCGATTTCATACCCTTTGATTTCGGAGCTCCCCAAGCACTGCTGCCGCTGGTACCGCGGTCGCACTCTGCGATTCTGCTGGATTGAGGCTCCTCTCAGGCTTTCTTCTTTCGCTTCAGCATTTATGCCGTGTTCTCTCTTCATTTTTAGTTTTATGGGTTGTAATAGGAATAGGCTTTCAGGATGTTGCCTTTGGACCTGGTGAAGTAAGCAGGGAACCGGTACCGGTGAGGGCAGTCGTAGGGCCCCCGGGCAGCGGGCATCCAGAGGCTAGCTTCCTGCTTAACAGGCCCTTTGTGCTGGGGACCTAGGCTAGCTCCTCGGTCTCAGTGTCTCTTGTCGCTTGTGCCACTTTCCTCCTCTAGGCCTCTCCTGAGCACCAGATGCTCAGGAGCAGATTATAATCAACAGACTGTAGTTGAGGGGTCACAGGCCAGGCGTTGTTCTCTTTGTCAGCATGGAGCCTTGCCCTGTGGGGTTTCCTCCGGTTACTAACAGGTGCTTGAACTCTGGTTTTACAAGTATTCATTTGTTATCTTGGTTTTGTCCCTAGGTAGGGGTTGGCATGGGCTGTGAATATTCCAGCCTTGGCTTGAAGTCATAACCCCTTCTGAGAGGAGACACGGTGTGGTCGTGGGGGGCGGAATGTGAGCCAGTCTGTTTCTTCCTATTGCTCAGGCTTCGGCTGTTCTAGGTTGAGAGGCTCGTGTCCTAGCCAGTAACCCTTGCTCTACACCCCCATCCCTGCAGCTCACCAACAATGTACCCTCTGTGCTGGTACCAGCTGTGTGCCGCCCTGGGCCTCAGGAGTTCCTGGTCTGGGCTTGTGCCTGCTCGTGGGTTGTCTTGCCTGCCTGTTAGAGTAAACGCCGTTCACTTCAAGTTTTTCCTGCCCCTTTCTGTGGGGCTGTTGCTCCAGTATGCGCCATGGTCATCCATTTTTCTGTCCAGGGTTTTTGGCTTTGTTCTATACTTATGAGTCTTTGGAGGAGGTGAACTTGGCATCTTCACTGGACCATCACCTTGCTGGCCTCATCAGTCACTTGATTTAGAAAGAAGATCATAAAGATGGGGAGAAAGCCTGGTCCATTGAATACATGTTGCTAGGACAATTGGATAACTGCCTTGATTCTTAACTCACACTGTACACAAAGCTCAATTCTAGATGAAAATATGAAAATAAAAAAAAAATAAAGGAGGGAAGAAAGAGAAGTTGTAAAAAAAAACAGGAGAAGATCTTCAAGAAAGACATAGGCAGGGACACAACACACTATAAAGGGAAAACTGGGTAAACCGGATTAGATTAAGAACTTTGGTTCAGCAGACATTGCCGTTAAGACAGTGAAAATGCGACCAGAGTGGGAAGAGCTGCTGGACGTACAGTATCTCATAAGGACTCATCAGAGTATTACAGTGCGTTTGAGTGTTGGGAAAAGAAAGCGCCTACTAAAAAAACAAGTAAAGGACTTGAGCAGATACTTGACTATGAAATAGAGGTTATCCAGGTGACTAATACACATAAAAAGTGCCCAAGTGCAACAGGGTGGTCCCCAGGAAAGGGGGAGGTTCCCTGCCCCACCCAAGGGAGGGTGGAGCTGAGCAGGGAGAGAAGAAGCTGCAGGAAGAGACTGAGGAAGGAAGGAAGCAGGATGGAGCCAGAAGGAGACCTGGAGGAGGCGCATGGAGCCTAGAGACACGTGAGGAAACTGCGCTTGTCTTTTGGTCGTGGACTGGGTGACACAGATGTGGGTGAGACCCGTGGGGAGGTGACAATGGCAGCTTTTATCTTGATGTTGATTTTGCTCTTTTCCTTCCGGGCTTGTCTGGTTGTTTGTGACCCTTTTCTGTGGGTCCCCACTGGAAGATGCTTTAGACTTGGGGCAGGCTTTGGGGCCTTGCTCTGGGCCAATCCCATATGGATGGACTTTTACCCACGAGGGGACGGGTCACTTTGGGTGCTTCATTTAGAAACTAGACTCTTTGCCTTTCCTGTCTTGTTTCCTAGTTTTATTAAAGTTCCTTCCCATTAAAGTCTCCTATGTTTTGTGTTGATGCGGCGGATGGCAGAACCCATTTAGAATAGGCAGGTTTGCGGGGTTTTGGGCTGCCCCTCTCCCTGTCCTATAACACAAGGGCTACAAAGTAAAACCAGCTCAGTACCCGCCATACCTGGCCAGGATGGCTAAAATGAAAAAGGCAGAAAGTACCCAAGTGTTGGCGAGGATGTGGAACAACAAAACTTGTTCGCTGCTGGTAGGAAGAAAGTGTTAATGCTAAGTGCTATGCTTTCTCACGTTCTTTCTAGAACACTTCTAGTTATTTGATTTTTTTGAAGTTGGACCATAACCTTTTGTGGGGACCAGTGTGATTTGTGAGTACAGATCCTGCCTGAGACTTGCCCTTTCTGCGCCAGCATGGAGTTTTTCCTACTTCATTTTCCCACCATTCTCAGAATGAGTGGGATGGAGGGTGGAGGGAGACGTGGGGATTGGGATTTCTAGGGCAGGAGTCAGGAAACTATGACTTGCAGGCCGCACTGGGCTCAGTGCCTGTTTTGTAAGGTTTTATTGGAAGACAGCCCTCATTCGTTTGCTTTTGTCCATGGCTGCCTTTAGCTACAATGTCAGAGTTGAGTGTAGTTGACCTTTGCGTAAAGTAAACCAGAGAAAAAATCATAAGGAAAAGAAAATACCTTTATAGCAAGTGCTGTGTTCATGGGTAGGGCAAGTTCACTGTGTAGAGAAAACGAGTTGTTCAGGATCCGCTGCGGTAGCAACAGAGACTGCATGACTCGCGAAGCCTAAAATATTGTCTGGCAGTTTGCAGCAAAAATGTGCCAGGCCATGGTGTAGAGTCTAGAGAGCTCATTCACGTGAACCCTGTGATTTCAGAGCCTTTGCTGTCCAATGTAGCAGTCACTGGCCACATGCAAATATTTCTGTTTAAATAAAATGAAAGACTGGTCATTTACATAATACTCAGGTAGTAACCACATTTCAAGTGCTCAGTAGCTGCATGTGGCCAGAAGCAGCTGTCGTGGACAGCATAGGCATGCAGCATGTCTGTCATTTAAAAAATTCTCATACCAAGTAAGCCACTTGGCTTCTTTCCTGTCGGTGTCATTGATAGTCCCTGCTGATGTGCCTGCTTCTTTTGTCTGATAGTTTTTCTTTTTACTGTCTTTATAATTTCTTTCCATCCCCTAAGACTAAGTTTGAACTGCAGTGTATGTCAGTGGTAAATATATTACTTTTTCACTATTTCACCTGTCTTCTTTCATTCACCAATAAGAATGTAAGATTTTAAAAAGATTTATTTAAAGGTGGGGACTGTATTCTTGGTTGCTTTTTGTAGTGCTTTGTACATAATTTTTGTTACTGTTTTTAATATATCTTGAATTTTCCTAAATAGTGTGAAATTATTTCAGGTTTGTTTCCCTTAGGTATAACGAACTATAAACTTCAAAAAAAGAAAAGCAAAGATGGGTGAAAAGAAACCAGAGCCTTTGGACTTCGTGAAAGATTTCCAGGAATACCTGACTCAGCAGACCCATCATGTGAACATGATTTCTGGATCAGTTAGTGGGGACAAAGAAGCAGAGGCTCTTCAGGGAGGTAGACTCATCTTATTATTAAATCACTTTATACATACAGAGAGAGGCGTGTGCTGTTATCCATGAAGAATACTGATCATTAGGAAATCTGGATTAGACCTGAGACAGAAATTGGAATTTAAGTCTTGTCTCTGTTAAAATGAAAAGGAAAAAAAAAAAGGCACTGACTATGTATGTTTGTCCATCTAAGAAGAGAAACGAGGATAGAGAAAGCAGCAATTCACTTGAGCCTGCTACAGATACACTTTGTTTCCTTACCACGGACAGACCCTAACTTGGGTCAGCAAACTACATCCGTGGGCCTTGTTAGACTGCTTAGTGTTCCGTGTGACCACAGCTAAGAGTAGTTTCTGTATTCATAAATGGTTCAAAAAAAAAAAAAACAAGAGAAACACCTCGTGACATGAGACATGAGAAATTATATGAAACTCAAGCTTCAGTATCCATATATAGTAGAGTTTTATTGAAACGGTCATGCTCTTTTGTTTACATACTTTCTAGAGCTGTTTCTGTGCTACAGCAACAGAGCTGGATATTGTGACAGAGAACATAAGCCCCAAAGACCTCTGGCCTGGACAGGTTACAGCTGTATAATCCAGGGGCCAACTGCAGAGACTTGGCATCACCTGGGAGCTTGTTACAAGTATAAAACATCAGGCCCTGCCCAGATGTACTGAATCAGAATCTGTACTTTGACTGCTCTAGTGGTCATATACTCTTTCAATTTTGTGTCATTGGCTTGGGAAAACATTGGGGGGACGAGGGAGACATTGAACCTTGTTGTCCCTCCAGTGCAGTGACCCTTGCATATTGGACTTGTACCATGCAGCAAAGTTATTTCCTCTGGGAAGAAACAGTAGAGCAGGGTCCTGATTGTTCAAGCCCCTTCCTGGGACTGAGTGCTTTTCCCAAGGAGCTGTAGGAGTAAAAATGTACCTCCTGATTGTTCTCTCTGGGCTGGGATTCAAGAGACCAGGTTGTAGTTCATACAGTTTGTTGATTTTCCTTTTTTGAACACTTCCCCTCAGTCTCTTATCTGTACAAAGAAGTAATTAATATAAACTAAAGCAAATAGCCAAGCATCTTGTACTTCTGAAATTCTTATAGATCTAACATTCAAATGTCAGATAAAAAATTTTCCTTTATACACTTAATTAGAACTTTAAGATCCAGAATTTAGAATATAGATATAAACTGAATGGAACAGTGTAAAACTCAGCATTGATTGCTTTAGACTAAAGTGAATGAGCTAGGATTTGGGGAGATTATTATGACTGCCAATTATAATATTTGTAGAAGTTGCTGGATTCTCAAATACGTGGTTACTATGCCAACACTATTTGCTACCCTCTGTCTCCTCTCCTGTCATATAATACCCTGTGCTTCAAAAGCATATTGAAGATAGATATTTATGTGTAAGTAATTTGAGATCCCCTATGAAAGATTCTTAAACCAGAATATATTACTGCTTTTCTATAAAATTAACATCAGTTAAGTGTTATTTTGTAAATTTAACTTCTGTGCTATGTGAACTGTCAGTTGATGATAGATTTTATACTACTTGCGACTAAGATGCTAAATTGAGTTGATTCTGAGATGCATTATTTCTATGCTATACTGTTTATAGCTGGAACAGATGGTGATCAAAATGGACTTGATCACCCATCTGTTGAAGTTTCCCTGGATGAAAACTCAGGAATGTTGGTAGACGGGTTCGAAAGGACTTTTGATGGGAAGCTCAAGTGTCGGTACTGCAACTATGCCAGCAAAGGAACCGCCCGGCTTATTGAACATATCCGAATCCACACAGGTAAGGAAGAATGGCTGGAGAAGGCATCTCTTTAGGGGCAGAAGAGGGGCCAAGGAGGGCAACTTGGTTTGTCAAATAAATAGTTCTAATAGATTAAAAATGAAGGTTTGAATAAGTGGGGCAGCGGTTACTCCATTTTTACGAAACAGCAGAATAACAGCATGCAGGCAGGCAGTGCAGCCCTGCAGCCTTCCCCTTTCTCAGCATCTTGATCCAAATACTCGTTCAGCATATGCTTCTCAGGTTGGGCGTGTTAATACTGAAGGCAGTATAGTGTGATAAATGTCATTGCTAAGTGTGTTTCAAGTGCAAAATGGGGAAAAGCTTTCTCTACCGTTACAAACTGTATTGCTAATGCTCAGGCCTTCCCTTAGCCATTCATTCTGTGACGTCCTGACTATCCTCTGTTCTGGCCAAAGGCCAGGTCAGTGTCCCTCTTTGCCCCATGGCTTCTGTTGCTACCTGTCACGGTGCTCCCATGCTGCATGGTGGGGGGATACAGTGAGGCCAGCTTTGTGCCCCAGAGCCTAGTGGAGCATCTGACACACAGGAGGTAGTCAGTGTTTCTTATATGAGCGACTCCAAATCTCATATTCCAAATGTTTTACATGTTTGGACCACCTTCAGCTTAACACCATAAACTAAAATTGTCCCTTTGGTAAGAAGAGGAGAGGAAGAAGCTGTAACACCAACAATTTTGAAGGGACACTGATAATTCCTGCTTGGACCAAAAGGCCCATCCTGATAGAATTTTTTATTTAAGGATTTACATAAAAAGGTTTTTTGCATATTTCCTGGGGAAGGAGTGTTTATTCATGTGTGTAAAGGGTGAAGATATATAAAGAAGAATGTGTCTGGATGTATATCTAAACCTGGCTGTGAGACAGACTTTTGATACAGTGACTGATGGGGAATACTGTATTGTCAGCGCTGCTATTCTTTCCCAGTGCTGCTCGAAGCCATAGCCATTTTTACACTTTTGACTAATGGCATTATCTACTTATCTCAAATTGTTACTGATATGTTCTTATGCTTTATGTACGTCTGTAAGTTTATTACACACTTTAACAATCTTGTGCAAATGTGAATTTCTGAAAAGCATTTTGTTTTTGCTCAATTTCTAAATCTAATGTAGTCAAAACACAAACCTTTTCATAAATGAGCTATTCTTGTCGTTTATCTCCCATTTTTCTTGTTAAACAGGTGAGAAACCTCATAGATGTCACTTATGTCCATTTGCATCTGCTTATGAGCGTCATCTGGAAGCCCATATGCGTTCCCATACAGGAGAAAAACCATACAAATGTGAATTATGTTCCTTCCGCTGCAGTGACCGAAGTAACCTGTCCCATCATCGAAGACGCAAGCATAAAATGGTACCAATTAAAGGTACTAGGTCTTCCTTAAGCAGCAAGAAAATGTGGGGAGTCTTACAGAAGAAAACAGGCAATCTGGGCTATAGCCGAAGAGCACTAATCAACTTAAGCCCACCTTCCATGGTGGTTCAGAAGCCGGACTACCTGAATGACTTTACCCACGAAATCCCAAATATCCAGACTGACTCCTATGAAAGTATGGCGAAAACCGCAGCGACTGGTGGCCTGCCCAGGGACACCCAGGAGCTCATGGTTGATAACCCTTTAAATCAGCTCTCAACTCTAGCAGGACAGTTGTCCAGTTTGCCACCTGAAAACCAAAACCCCGCGTCCCCTGACGTCGTTCCCTGCCCCGACGAGAAGCCTTTCATGATGCAGCAGCCCTCTGCCCAGGCAGTGGTGTCTGCCGTGTCCGCGAGTGTTCCTCAGAGCGCCTCTCCCGCCAGCCCCGAGCCTCGGCCATCACACAGTCAGAGGAACTACAGCCCCGTGGCAGGCCCGAGCAGTGAGCCGAGCGCCCACACAAGTACTCCTAGCATAGGGAACAGCCAGCCCAGCACGCCAGCGCCAACCCTGCCAGTTCAGGACCCGCAGCTTCTGCACCACTGCCAGCACTGTGACATGTACTTTGCCGACAATATCCTCTATACTATTCATATGGGATGTCATGGGTATGAAAATCCTTTTCAGTGTAACATATGTGGATGCAAATGTAAAAACAAGTATGATTTTGCCTGTCATTTTGCAAGAGGGCAACATAATCAGCACTGATGGAAACAATCATCATATGCTGTATTTGGTTTTGCTGTTTTGTGGTTTCGATTTTTTTTTTTTTTTTCTGTTGGGGGGGCGGAATCATCCCTAATTAGGTGTCTACTAATTTAAAGTCTATATTTATAGAATATAAATTTGACAGTGGAAACAAAATTTTCTTTTTTTTTTTTTTCTTTCATAAAAGTCTGGACAGGGTCATTGATATATTAGAACACAGGTCTATTTTCTGGTTTCATTTAGCATTTGAGTTTTGGTCACTCATAATCTTACAAGTGTTCATCTGAGTTTTCCACATTTATGGTCCATAAACACTTCAAGGCTTATTGATAGTTCAGTATATTGGAGCTAGATACTGTTCTTCACATTTCAAAATGGTAGAATAAGTTACAAAATCTTTTACAGCTTATTTCAGTGTTTAGCAGAGGAATTGCCTTTAAAATTGCTCTTAATTGAAATACAATTTAGTTCACATAGTTCAAGTTGAATTAGTTTCATTTCAACTAATAACAGTAATGCTATTTCCTCTTTTTTCCATAAGAGGAAATGTAAGTTAATTCTGTTTAAAGTTACAAAAGTATAGGGTGAAAGTACTGAAAAGAAAGGGAATATAATAAGTTTTCATATTTAAAATATTGGTTCATTCAATTTCTGATTTAAACTAAGTCAAATTTCCATTGAATTCTTTTTATTACACTTCTGCTTTATGTAAAAAGCCACAGGTAAATACATGCAAACGCTAGAAATATTGGAGGATTATCTGTGAAGATGCCTTTTTTCCCCTTTTCATTTGAGCCTTTCATTTAAATCCTTCACTCTGGCATTGTTTATGCCAGGTGAGGTTGGTAACTATACTGAGAATCTGTTATTCTTTCTATTCCTTTGATGACCAAAGAGGGACAGTGGACATCATCTGTCCTATACCTAGGAGATGCAGTCCTTCAGAGAGATCTCTGAAGTTTTCCTTTTCCTGCCTTCTGTCCACTTATTGCCCATAATTTCAAGAAAAAGGTGGGTACAGAAACACACAGGAAATATGTGAAGGCCAAGTAATATTTACAAAAACGAGAAGCTATCTCCAAAACAGATCCTGGTCTACTCTTCAGAACTGGCCATTTAAAATATTTTCTGTAAATTCAAGCTGTAATGCTTATTTACAGCTCCCCCAGTCTCTCATGTACAGTGGCAAAACTATATGGAAACTGTGGTTGAATTGTCGCCTTAGCAAGAGAAGATAAGCTGTGTGATAGTAGATATAAAATACATTTAAACATATTTGTTTACAAAAATAAGACTTGCTAAATAAGTCGAGTAATTTTTGAATAGGCTATTGTTTTATATTGTGTAATAACTAGCTGGCTCTGAAGACAGCTTGGTCAAACAATAAAATACATTATTACTAATAGTTGGTTTCTGTGTACTTTGCAAAAATTATTCTTAATTTGGTTCCAAATCTTGAAAGTGTAAATTGGCATCTTAAAGAGAATATCCTGACTATTAAGTGTTTATTAACCAAAAGGGCCTCTATTCTCATAGTAAGTAAAAGGGAAATATTGATAGCATGTGCTCGCAGATCCCCCAAGTGCCAAGTCAGTGGGTCTTCTACCTTCCTTCCAGATGCTAAAGCCATTAAAATGAGTTCTTGTGGTTTACTCTCCAGTCTAATCTCAACTGCATTGTTCCGAGAGCAGCATGAAGGGCAGTCTCCAAAGGCTATACATAGCTCTCTTCCTTGTCACAGCTGAGGTTTGTGAAGCTAAAATTTTACAATTCTGTTTGCTCTGTTGTCGAAAGCCCTCCCTGCTCAGATTGGTTTTAGTGCAGCCATTTCCAGATGGTGTAACTTGGCCTACTGTTTGTTTATTGCCAGAGAGAAACAGGTTGCCGTCATTTGGAAGCTTTGCGATGATTTTTCCCTTCACTTCTATTTTATTCTTCAAATAAAAGCAATACCCCAAAATAGTGAATTTTCAGTAGACAATGAGGAAGAACTCTAGTGAAGACCAGTTTATTAACTATGTATATTCTGGGCCAAATAGTGACAAATATATTTTTTTCTAACAACTGAAGATAGATGTTTTGAAGATGCATTTTAATTTAACCATAGAAAAGATTTTTTTCCTAATTACAAATAAGAATGTATAATTCTAATTTTCTTATGACTTAAAGAGCACAGTTGGTATTCCAAAGGTGTCAATGCTTGAAAGTTACAATTAATTCTAAATGCACTAAAGTTTTTAAAGCAAATCTACCTTAGAAACTTTTTTAGTATTGTATTTTTAAAAAGATTTAGGACTTTATTTAAATATTCTGTGAGTTAAATTCTGTATTTGGAAAGATGTTAGTATCTTTCATTAAGTATTGACTATGTTTCTCCCATTTTATTTTTAATCAAATATTTTATAGAAATGAGTTGGGAAAAGCTTAACATGCACTATTTATAGTAAGTACCTTGCTGTTAACAGGCAATGTTCTGAAACTAAATTATTTTTGTTCAGTGAACATAAGTTTAGATTTTTAAAGTTGGTAGATAATTTATCTCCACTAATATTTTTTTAAGAGACTGTGAAGAGATTAACAGGGAATACTTTTATTTCAGATGTTACACATTAGTATGTGTAGCTACAACTTCTGGATTCAAGTAAAGGCTAGACTTTTACTTTGAAAAATTCCATTGGATATTTTCCAGTGCTGTTTCATTTTAGAAATAAGTGTTTGCCATTCGTCTGCTGGATTATTTGACAAAGGGGACATTATAGAGAATGTTCAGAGATAAACCTCATTTAAGTTCTGCGAGAATATTTATCAAATGGGTGTATTATTAAAATGTAAAAATTCCCTGCTAAGGACATTTTCATTAAATAGTCTTAGAGGGTATGTGATTTCTAGAACCTGTTTTTGTTAATATGTACTCTGATGTAAAGAACATATTTTGTATGCAAAACATAAAACAAGTATGGTTGCAATACACACTATCTGTGTAGGGATTCCAGAAAGCAGTTAATGCTGAAATAATTAGTATGTAGTTCATATTGTAAATGAAGCTTTGCTTTTGTAATATATGAATAAAAAAGTAACACTTTCTAACGATCTCAACTTTTCTTTTTTTAAAATTTTTTTTTTTAATTTTTTTTTTTTTTTAATAGAGGCATGTTTTATTTATTTATTTATTTGTTTGTTTGTTTTGTTTATACATGCACTGGGTACAGTCAGAAGCGCGGGAGGGTGAGAGAATTCACCAGAGCCAGAGCGGGGAGCAGAGCAGGCAGAAGGACCGAAGTACACTGCTGAGGGGAGCAGCGGGCGGCAGGAGAGGTCTGCGCGCCATGTGGGACCCTCCTCTGGTGGCCGGGGAGCAGCCGGGGATCGAACCGGCACCGCAGAGGCCGCGGGCAGCTTCGCAACCCAGCGCTCAACCGCTGCGCCACCGGGGAGGCCTTCAACTTTTCTTTTTTAACACTAGGATTAAGTTAGTTTGTGAGTAGTTTTCCAGTATTTAAAATAAAAAGGTTTTGTGACTCTCTGGGTTTGAATTTGTGGAACGCCTTGTCCACAAGATGCTGCATGAGTTAGAAACGGCACCAAAGACCTGCATCTTGTCACCTGAGTAGTTTCTTCTCTGTCAAGATCCAGTCACGTGACTCCAGTCCCCAGCCCTGCGCTCTGGGCTCTGACCCTTAGAGGAGGCTCTTCTGATGGTTAGTTTTCATGTCACACCCCACAAGTGGCTGACTGAAGTAATTTCTAGGACAAATGCATCTTTTAAAGTGGACTGATTTCTTTAAAAACTTGAGTTTTTGACAATTTATAGATCGCTGGCCTAGAAAACATCCAGTAATGCAAATTGCTTGCAAAATCAGACATTTGACTGAAAATTCAAAAGTTTAATGCTTCTTTGAAAAATACTTATGTACAATGTTATCTTTCTCATACTGAAAAGAAAGGATAATATCTGATATGTCAGTAGTTTGTTGAAAGCATAGGTATTTTTTGTTTCCTTGCTTTAGGTCTTCCAAAAATTCTGCTTTGAGCTTGTTAAGTTCTTCTGCTAGAAGTTTCAAGTTGTAGGGAGGCACTTGTTCATCTAAAATAAAAGGATATCCTCAAGTTATCTGTAAATTAAATCAGGCTGGGCTGTTTGATGACATCAGGTAATTAACTTGATTATGTTAGACAAACCAGACACCTATAATCACCGATGGTGTGCTCCGCAGACAAAAGGCCATGGTAGGGTGATACAAGCATCTCTTCTGAAACAATTCAAAGTACTGAAAAACTTGCAGAAAATACAGGCCTGAAAGGGAGTTTTTCGTTGACAAAAATCAAAAGATTGTTGACTTACTATCTTATAGTAGAATTGCTAGGTAATGAGGCAAAAAGAAAATCAAACAGAAAGTGATAATTTGATTTTGAAAATGATAGTATCTATAACAGTTGTCCAACAGAACTTTCTGCAATGAGGGAAGTGCCCTGTACCTGCCCTGTTCAACACAGTCACTCGCCATGTGGGCAGCTGAATGAACCACTAAAGTTTTGTATTGTTGAGATACAATTTCCTACCATACAATTTGCTCATTTAAACTACAATTCAGGGCCTCCCCTTGTGGCGCAGTGGTTGAGCGCTTTGCCACATGCACTTTTTTCTTCAAGCCAGCCTAGTGAACGCGAAACGTCTCGTCATGGTTTTTCTTTGCTTTTCCCCAAGGACTGATGATGTCAAGTGTGTTTTCATTTAGTTACCGGCCATTTGTCTTCCCCGGGGGAAAAGCTTATTTGGAACCTCTGCCCATTGAGAAATTCAGATTGCTTTCATAATTAAGCAGTAAGAGTCCTTTATGTGTTTTGGATCCAAGTTCTTTTTGAGAAACACAACTTGAAAATATTTACTCACATTCTGTGGTCTGTCTTCACTTTCTTAATGGTAGGGAATGGAATTATATAAGCCTGACCTAGAAGCTTGTGTCACTTTCCTCACCAAGAAACAAAACTATTTAAACGAGTGGGAAGGGAGTCCAGGGTGATCTGTGCATAATCAGACTTCCCCTCCCCTTCACTTTGTAGACAGAACAGAAGAAAGGCAAGCGGGGGAGGGCAACCCCATAACTATTTGGTTTCATTCTAATAATGCTGACATTTCTGTTTCCCAAACTTTGGATTTTAACCTATAAGTGAGCTGCAAGTTCCAACTAAGTGATTTTCTAAGTGGGATCAAGTAGAGTACAGCACAGTTTAACGTGAGGGTTCTATGGAACTTCTGTGCCTGCATGTTTTCCAACAAAGTGGTAACATAAAATCTACATGGGAGTGATGGTTTTAAAAAAAAAAAAAAAAGGTGTGAGAAACACAGTATGCTTAATATACTGTTGATTTCCCCCACGTCCTGAGTTTTGGTAAAGGTACAATAATAAGCGATGCTGCGTGAGGAGCATAACAGAAGGCGTAGACTCGAATCCCATCTTGCCCTGAGCCTGAGGTCGCCGAAGTGCCTCAGGTAGTGGCTTTGTTTTGGGCAAGTTACTTGATGCTCTCAGAACCTCCACTTCCCCATTTGTAAAATTACACCTACCTTATAGGATTATAAAAATCAGAAACTGTTTTTTAAGGCACTTAGCATAGAAAAAGGAGCTCAAGAAATGTTAGCTGATACTGTTTTTAAAATCCAAATTTAAATAGAGCAAAGAGTTCAATATTTAAAACACAAAAGAGCTATTTTAGAAAGCTGCAAAGTGGAGAAAGAGAATACACTGAGCTTGTTTAAACTCCATGCTGACCTCACCCACTCACATTTCAGCTTAAATGTCATCTCCAGAAGCGTTCTGATCTCCCTCTTAAAATAAGTCCTCCCATCATTCTAGCCTGCCTGACCCTGCTTTCTTTCCCTTCAGAGCACAGGTATATATGTTCATTCATTTTTCTGTCTCCTCATTGAAATGTGCACAACTTCCAGTCACCAGCATGCAAAACATGGCCTCACACAGAGCTACTGCTCAGAACCTGGGTACCAGGTGAACACCCAGTTCTGTGGGTAGAATTTTAATTTTCTATCACCAAATTGCATATTTACACTGAAAACATGATGCAAACTTTATGACCAAAAGCTAACAAACTACCCTAGTGTAGGGAACAGCCGCAGAAAGCCCTACGAGCGCAATGGAATGTAACTCCCAACATACCTTTCGCTTCCTTCATCATCTGAGAGACAATTCTTCGGAGTGTCTGATCAGCTTGATGAAGCATGTTAGTTGAACAAATTACTCTGTCTGTCTCCTAGGTAACACAGATATTATTATTGGAACAGTTATACAGTTTATAAAAGAAATGGTGAAAGCACAACAGCTTTGGGGAGGGTGAGTGAATCATGCACATGACGAGGTGCGAAGCTACACCCCCAAAATAATGGTTGCATAAACCAATAACTCAATAAAAATTGATTTTAAGAAATGAGATCTTGGGGCCTCCCTGGTGGTGCAGGGTTAAAGTCTCAGTGCTATTAAGCTTTTGCCAGCCACGGCGGCCTGAGTTCGATCCCCAGGCAGGGAGCTGACCCACATGGCACAGCAGACCTCTCCTGTCTCACCCGCTGGCCCCCTCAGAAGTATATTTCGTCAGTCTGCCTGTTCTGTTCCCTGCTGTATCTCTGGTGAATCCTCTCACCCCCCACACCTTTGGTCTACACCCAGTTCTTCCACACAAAAATTTTTTAAAAAAGAAATGACTGAAGTGTAGGTGATGCAAACTTGAGAGTGCAAGAAAAGTTAAAGTGACCTCTGGGTTCCAGTTACCCTTCACTAGGAGGCAGAAAAACACCCAGTTGTAAATTGGGTTCCTCCTGGGCAGTGGTGTGAAGGGAAATGCCTAGCAATAGGCTCCCCTGTTTTCCCAAAGGAAAACCTATCCATAGGGTCTTTCCGTTTCTGTGATGTAAATATCCCTAGCCATTTTCAAACAGCCAACTAATGTTAAAAGTCTCCAAAGTTGCTGAAAATTCAACAGTCGGCTGAGAGCAGCCAGTGCAAGCTGCCTCCTGGGCCAGGGCTCCGGGGCCAGGGGCCGAGTGCGGGTGAGTTGGCCGGCAGGGCAGAGCTGCCCTTACATTTCATGCCTGTGTTACATGCAACCACAAAGCAACCTTGCTACAAAAAGTTGTTCCCACTCATTTATACTAAGTCTTCCCAGGAAGACGTACCTTTTGTTCTACATTGTCCACAACACATTTTACTGGATTCTCCAAAGCAGTAAGCAGTAGATCAGTCAGCTTCAAGCTGTAAGAGGAGGTAGGAGAGAATCAGTCCCTGCAGCAGACACCTGCTGCTTAAGGACTTGTGTTTATGAATACTAAAATGAAAAAATGCTATAAATTGGCCCTCCCTGGTGGTTCAGGCAGTTAAGCACAGCGCTGTGAAGCTGTCTGCAGCCTCTAGTGCGGGTTTGATCCTGGCTGGCCAGGGAGCTACCCACATGGTGCAGCAGACCTCTCCTGCCTCGCCCGCTGCTCCCCTCAGCGGTGTATTTCAGTCAGCCTCGCTGTTCTGTTCCCCGCTCTGTCTCTGGTGAATACTCTCACCCTCCTGCACCTCTGGCCTGTACCCTGATTCTTGTATAAATAAATCAATCTAAAAAAAAAAACAATTCCAAACAAATTTTTTAAAAAAAGTGCTATAAATACAAGATCCTAAACTAAAGGGGGGGAAAAGGAATCATTTGGAAGCTACCTTCTACTTGCAAGATTCAATGGCAGAAGCTCAAAACAAATAAGCCAAAAAATGTTAATTTCCTAAGACTATATCAACAAGCTTTGAAAAGGCATCCTCTTTCTCTCATTAAGTGCTGAGCTTTAGGCTGAGGAACGCAGTCTGCCCAGTCTGTACATTTTTGGCTTCTGCTTATTTACTAGATACAGATTAGCACAATGGTCCTCAATGGTCAAAGGGCCATGGAGAGTTCAGGTAGAATCAGGTCATTCATTTAACAACTATTTATTGAGCAATTTCTTCTATGAAAAATATTTTTAAACTGGGCCTCCCTGGTGGCACAGGGGTTAAGTCTCAGTGCTATCAAGCAATGGCCAGCCACTGCAGCATGAGTTCGCTCCCCGGCCAGGGAGCTAGTCACATGGCACAGCAGACCTCTCCTGTCTCCCCACTGCTCCCCTTAGCAGTGTAATTCAGTAGATGCGACTGTTCTGCTCCCCACTCTGTCTCTGGTGAATCCTCTTACCTCCTGCACCTCTGGCCTACACCCCAGTTCTTGTATGTATAAATAAAAATAATCTTAAAAAAATTTTTTTTAACTTTTACAATTTGCTAATCCTCTGTGGACAACAGTCAGGAGGAAGCAAAGGGCACATGGGTAATCAAGCTCCAGAACTGCGCTCTCCTTTGCTCAAGCCACCAGCCATGTGCAGCTATTTAAGCAGAAAGTCAAGAAAATGGAATTTAAAATTCAGGTCCTCACTTGCACTAGCTGTATTACAAGTGTTCGGTGGATACCATGGCTAGCAGCTATAGTGCAAATACAGAAATTTCTATTTCATCAGTGAAATTTCTATTGGAACCGTACTCTAGAATGTTCTAGATGCTATCATGAATGGAAAGCCCCAGCACCACAGTCCAGAAGCTTCACACATACACAGCAGTGCCACTAGCCAGGATTAAGACAAAACTTGGATTCAGTACCACCTCCGCTCCTTTTCTTCCTATAAGGAAATTATTAGCCAATCTAGTTGGACTCTGCTACTTTGGTAAGAGTATCCCCAAAGATAAGCACGCCGAATGCCCGGCTGTGCCCTCTGGGGGACAGCATTCTCTTAATAAGACTAATGTTTGCAAGCCAACTTGGCTTCAAATCTCAGCTGTCACAAGCTCAGTAACTCACCAACTGAGCTATCTCACTCAGTTTCCTCTTTGTAGGGAAATAATCTCTCTGCAAGGCTGATGGGAGGACCAGCCAAATGAGTAAAAGTAAAGCATTTAGCTCAGGGCCCAGCTCAGCGAGGCGGCAGTGAATGGCAGCTTTGAGCAGGATACCTGGCCTCGGAAGAACACACTGTGCTCTGAATCGTGAGGCTGTTGCGTTCCCAAGCATTTTTCTCAGGATTGGGTTTCTCTATCTTCCTGCCCATCAGGTGGATGGTCTCGGCAGGCACTGCTCGTGGTCTCTGGCCATTCCTCTCTAAACAGGTCTCAAGAGAACAGTCGAAAAAGAGCTGACAAAAGCCCACGGAATCTGAAAACAATTGGAAAGCACAAAATTACTGGTATACTCTTGTTTCAGCCCAGCTGAAGCAGAAAAGCCCTCACGCAATACTGAATGTCCATATAAACTTCCTAGTCCAGTTAAATCTACTAAAGACAAGAGTGATTTGGGCATGAACATAAATGCCTATGTGTAAAAAAGTTTTAATTACATTTCCGGGCCAGTTGGTAGACTTCATATCTCATGCTCTGGTAGTAAAAGTTGTCATCGAGAATCAAAAGCAAAGGTCTGGACACAGCAGTCTTCGTTAAGAAGTAGCCGGATGGTGCCTTCGCCGCTGCAGAAGAGATCAGATCTTGATCTTTTAAGCAGGTTATAAAATCTTCCCACATGACTTCAGTCCTTGTGGGTGGGACAGACACCTGGCCCCCATGAATAACACCATTTAGGAAGTGTTCTAGGTATCTCAACAGTTCTTGTCGAAGTAGTTTCCACTGGGATGGCTAAAAAGAAAGAATTGCATTCTCAATTAATTAGTTTTGACCAGGAAAATGCCCCAACCTGGAAATTTCACACCCCAACAATGAACCATCTGTAGTTCTTGACACTCAGAGATTGTAGACACCATCCCTCTGCCTAGAAAACTCCTACTCAGGGATGTTAGTCCTCTTCTAAGTCTTCTCAGACTCAAATCACGCAGAAGGCAGCTCAGATGCTCCCCCCTCCCCCAACCTATCCTGACACTCCATTCTCTCCATGTTGGGCCTCCACTCTGGCAGGGTTTCCACTGTTGAGGCAATTGTTTGCACATCTCTGGCCCCCTGCTAGATCAACAGTCCAACATATGCCAGCCTCCAGCAGAGAGTCTGGTACCTAATTTGGTGTTTCAGAAATAGATGTTAAGTGACTGAATAAATAAAAGAATGAAAGTGTTATCACCCAGGAGAAAAGAGAAGCCAAAATCAATATCCTGCCAAAATAAAACACTCTGGCTAATAGTCAAGGTTCTCTTGAAATGAGAACAATGGTGGGTAGAAAATGTTCAGTCAAAAGGTCCCCTGGCCAAGATGCAAGACCTTCAGTTAACAAGAGTCAAAGTGGATGGGGAAAGAGAGGAAGCAGATCAAGGGGAAGAGAAGAGCTTTAAAATACAAGGAGCTTTGTGCGTCTGTGGAGAGCACTGACACTTTGATGAGGTCGGGGTCGGAGGGAAAGCACAGGACAGGAACTGAAGCCTCTTCTCGCCCGCGCACGCTGCCAGAGCACTGAGATGCCAGCACCTGCAACCAACACATCCGCTAGGCCCGCTACACAGGAGACTCTGACAACTTCCTACAGCTGAGCTAGCCCGCGCATAGCGACGCGACGAACCCCATGCCTTCATTTCCAGTGGGAGGTGGAAAAAATACAACAGTAAGAGTGAAGGAAAGGTCCAGCAAATACAACAATTCCTACTGTAGGGGCAGGAAGGACACTGAGCAGGTTTTCTGATCCAGCAGACCGGGTAAAGGAGGAGTCCTGGAGCCCTCAGTGGTTTTTGCAGGCTTTTATTGGGATTTACCAAGTACACGGCAGGCAGGGGTGCCGGGGGGGCTGGGAGGCTGGCAGGCCTGTCTTCACTCTGGGCTCTCTGCCTTCTCTCATGTTCTCTCTGCTCTTCTCATGGCTCTGCTTCTCTCTCGGCTTCTTTGCTCCTGCTGGCATCTCCTCGACGCTGCCCTTAAAAGCCCAGTCTCAGCCAGGTGAATCCCATCTACATAGGCCCACACCCTACTCCAGGTGCCCGCCATCAGGCATGCATTTGGGACCGCAGGGTTCCCTCATCTATCCTAATAGTGGGAGGGCAGAGAAGCCTGATACTTTTTACCTTACCCTACACCTACCAATGACTTCAGTTTTCACCCAAATGGTGAAATTACACATCCAAGTAAATCCGGCATTACCAGGGTCCTGAGGCTCTATTTCCCTCACAAGTAGCCAGGAACAGGGACATAAATTGGCCCCCATTTTTTCCATACACCTAATGTACTCAATGTTTCACCAACAGAGTGGAATCATACAGTTGCGTATTTATGTGGGTGTGGGTTCCTTTACATTCCAGCACTTAAAAAAAAAAAAACGATTTAAAAAATTTCAGACTATTTCAATCAAAGGGTATTTACTCCAGAAGGAGGATGAGACCGAACACATGGAATCTCCTTCCTGAGGTCTCAGTTTTCACGTTTCTCCAAAGGGTTGCCTCTCACTGCACTGCGATCTGAGGCCTTAAAGAAATAGGTACTTGGAACTTACAAGTTGGCTCTAGAGACAGCCCCTCACTTCCTTTGGTGGTCTGTGAAGAAACGGCCACTTTCCCCACTGGCAGAGGCTGATACTATTACTCTGAGATAAAGTCTGTGCTTCAGCGGCCAGACCCTTCATTTGCACAGCCTCTTTCTAGCGTCATGCGAGGAACCCCAGCAACGCTGACCCTCATCAACGCGTGTTTTTTCTTAAAAAGGGGGTGCCCCCAAATATGTAAATTTCAAACTCCACAAAAGCTGGATTCACTGTGGCTGGCTGTTAGTTCATGGCTGTATAGGCATTTTTGAGAGAGTCTGTCCCTCTAAGCAGAACCTTCCCAAAAAAGGACCTTCAAGAGCTATTTTCACCGGGAGGGAGCCCCAGCTCGCGGGCTGACTGGGCGACCCCCGGTACAGCCCCCCCGGTACAGCAGGCACCGCCTGCCCGCCCCAGAGGTCGCGCCTTCCTCTAAGTGAGCCGTTCTAGATGCTGCGCGCATGTCTTTGACAATCCACTCCTCGTCATCTCCTCCCACTCCTCGTCATCTCCTCCTGCGTCAAGCTTCCCCGAGCCCGTCTGCCCCGCCAGGGACGCACCTTCCCCACCGCGCACCGCGTCCGCCGGAGGCGCAGGCGCAGCAGGCGCGGCGGGCGCGTTGCCCTTGGCGACAGCGGCCGAGGCCCCGCCCCCTCCCCACTGACCAATGGCGGCGCGCTGGCCTCCGGGAGGAACGCCTCGGGCATGACGTCATCGTAGGCGACGACGCCGACGGCCCAGGCCTGCTCTCGCCGCAGCCGGCAGCTCAGGGCCCGCGCGAAGGTCGACTTTCCCGCCGCGGGCAGCCCGCAGAGGACGCAGAGCGCCAGCTTCCGCGGCTCCTCGCCGCGCGCGCCTCCGCCGTCGTCGCCGGCTCGCATGTTGCCCGGGAGACCGACGTCGCCGGCCCCAGCAATGACCCCGGCGCGGCCGCTCGCCGCGCACGCGCAGTCTCCTCGGCCCGGCGGCGCCGCCTGGCGTCGCGACGCGGGAACCGGCGGGGGGAATCCGGGGCGCCTCGCGTGTCCCGGCTGGTGGTGGGGGGCGTCTCCGGGGTCCCCGGAGCCCTGGCGCCAGCTCCGCGTGGGCGAGTCCTCACGACGATGCGTCTCCCAACGCCCGGACGGTCCCCAAGGGGCCCGAGAGTGGCACCGCCTTTTCTTGCGGGCCTCTGGGATTGGCGCGTCGGCTTCGTGGCGATGCCATCCCCTGCGGACGGCACTTTGAGCCTCTGCCGCCCGCGCGCTTTGAAGGGCCTGTTGCTGGAAATCAAAGAAGGGGAGGCCAAGCGGATCTGTCAGCAGCGCTGCGGTACCGCGCCCACCTGTGACAGGTGGAAGGGCAACTTGGATATTAGTCATGCTGCTTGTGATCTTTTGGGATACCAGTTCTTACTCTTTAATATTTATTACTATGAGTCATCCCTAGTATTGCATATTGATGCACTATGTAAATTTATCGTAGTTTATTCATCCTGTTGATGGGTACTAGTTTTAGTATTTTGCTATTGTGAATGGTGCTGCTGTGAACACACTTTTTTAAAAGATTTACTTATTTATGCATTTAAGAGCATAAATGGTCGGGATGTAGGCCTGAGGTACTGGAGGGTGAGAGGATTCCTCAGAGACAGGGTGGGGAGCAGAACAGGCAAATCCACTGAAATACACTGCTGAGGGGAGCAGCGGGGAGATAGGAGAGGTCTGCCGCACCATGTGGATAGCTCTCTGACCTGGGATTGAACTCGTGCTGCAGTGTCTGCAGATAGCTTCATAGTGCTGAGACTTAACCCCATGTGCCATCAGGGAGGCCCTGAAAATTCTTTCATGTCCCCAGTTGCATATATGCATCAATTACGGAGACTGTATCCAGCTACATCTGCTAGCCATTCGAAGTTCAGAAGATGTGAAACTATGTTTCAAGTGATTGCATCGATATACATTCCCATTAACATTTTATAAGAAATACGGTGGATCTCCATTTCCTCTAAAGATTTATTTATTTATTTATTTATACAAGCACTGGGTACAGTCAGAAGCGGGAGGGTGAGAGAATTCACCAAAGCCAGAGCGGGGAACAGAACAGGCAGACTGATGAAATACATTGCTGAGGGAGCAGCGGGCCGTCAGGAGAGGTCTGCTGTGCCATGTGGGACCCTCGCTGGCGGCCAGGGATCTAACCGGCGCTGCAGAGGCTGCAGGCAGCTTTGCAGCCCAGCGCTCAACCACTGTGCCACCGGGGAGGCCCTAACATTGACTTTTACCAATCGTATATAAAATCTCACTGGTCTTGGTTTGCATTCCCTGATCATTAATGAGGTTGTGTATCTCGTCATTTGTTCGGTTGCTCAAAATTTTTGGCCAGGAGTACTCTTCTGTGAAATGCAAGTTGCTTTTATTTGTTTCGCTATTTTTTTGCTTGGTTCTGTTTTTCTTCATTTTCTGAAGTTTTTTTACATGGCACCCCTGTGGGACTTGAAGGGAATGGCAAACTGATACAATCCAGTATAAAGCCCTGGTGACTGCTTTCTAAAGTCTTTTTCTCTGACCCAGTAGACCATGAAAAAGTAACAGCCTCTAGCTTATTAGCTTATAAGTAGGGTAAACCTCTGTGTCTACACAGTTCATGACAGTTTTGGGGATGAAGACTGAAAGCAGACACATTGCTTTCTGGGCAAAGGAAGGACAAAAGGATGCTAAAGCCCAGGTTAGAATATATTAGAGTCCCCAGAACCTGGAAGTGAAGGCCTCACGTCCAAGTGGGGGACAGGGCAAGGGTTTCCCATGGCTTACCTGTTAAATCATTAGATGCTGAGTGGCCAGAGGTGGGACTGAAACAAGCTGCTCTGCTCAAAGGGTACCTTAGTTGTTGATGGTCCTTGAGGTGGGAGGAGGAAGGAATGTTACTTTGACAACAGAGATGGAAGGCCTTGGTCCCCTGCTGAAAGTCTGTTCAGTTGTGGTTGCTGAGTCATGGAGGCCCCAAGCTCTAAGGATGCCTGCAGTGTAGAGCTTTGGGCAGAAATTTAGTTCCTGTGTGGAGCCTGAACAGGCAGCTGCTTGGAACTTGAATAAAAATGCCTTATTTCTGATGTTGGGCAGCCCTGCCCTTGACCCCCGGATTTGCTCAACTTGCTGTACCTTACTATTACATTAGATTGGTTCAGTCACACGGGCAGCGTCACTGAGAGACTGCAGGCCAGTTGTCATCACTGTTCCTTCCGAGCGTCAGAAGCACGGAGGTTGGTTGCTGAGTTGACGGACCAGTCATTCTGCTTTGATTTTGGGGTGAGGCTGCTTGACTCAACTCACAGGCTGATTCTGTTCTATCGGTTCTGCCGCCCGGGGTCCTAGACGCTGTGCACGGTGCTGCCTTCCCGGTCGCTGAGACTGCGAGGGCCACCGGGGGCCTCCATGTCGCGTGCAGCACCACGCCTCGCCACCCGGTGACGCTACCGGCCACCCAGCCCCCGTCGTCCACACCGCCGGCCCCGCTCCGGGCCCACAGCCCCGCGGGCGGGCCCAGGGGGCACCAGCGCGCACGCGCCGCCCCGGCGCTCGCCCACCCAGCCTGGACCCGCGCCTGGAGCGGGCTGCGCCGCGCATGCGTGCGGCGGAGCCGCGCTCGCCCCGCCGGAGCCCCCGCCGCGGGGCTGGGAGTTGAGCCCCGCCGAGCCGGAAGTGCCGCCGCCGCGGCCCGCTGCCCGGGCGGAAACGGCGGCCCCCGAAGAGAGGTTCCGGGCTGGCCGGGGCCGGAGGCGGCAGGATGGAGAGCGGGGCGGGGGACGAGCCGCCGACCCTGCGCCCGACGCTGGGCTCCTCCTGGGCGGCGGCCGGCGCAGGCCTGGCCCCCTGCCTCCAGCTGCACCGGGCCGGCCGCGGCGCCGCGGACGCGGACTGGGAGGAGCTGCTGGCGCCGCCTGCCCCGGGGTGCGCCGGGCCGCGGGGCCGCGGGGGAGGCGGCGGGGCCGGGGGCCGGGTCCTCGCGGGGCGCGGCGGCGGGGCCGAGCGGGCCGGGGGCGGGCCGGGGCGGGGCCCCCCGCGGGGCGCGCGGTCTGCGCCCCCGGGCGCGGTGGGGTGTCGGCCGCGCCTCTCCCGCGGCGGGCGAGCGGCTGCCGGGCCGCGGAGAGGCGCCCGCGCCGGCTCTGGAGACGCGCCCGCGCCCCGGGGGCGCCCGCAGGCCTTCCCCGCCGAAGCGGGGTCCGCGCCGGGCCGGGCGGGGGCGGCGGGGGGCGGCGGGGCCTCCTGGGCCGGGCCGGGGCGGGCCGGGGCGCCGGCCGCGCGCTGAGCCCCTCTCCCCGCAGGCGCGGCGCGGCGGTGCTGACGCGGGGCCCGCGCGGGCCCGGGGCGGGGCCCTGCTGCCTGTTCCTGCGCTGCGACCCGCGGGCCGGCGCGGAGGTGGCGGCCCTGGGCGTGCTGAGCTCGGCCCGGATCATGGAGGTGTACGCGGGGGACGAGTACTGCGGCACCGGCAGGGGCGAGGCGGCCCGCGCCGGCCTGGAGAGCAGGTGCGTCCCCGCGGCCTCGGGGCCCCCGGGCTCCCGCGGGGTGCGGGGCGTGGGAGCGAAGGGGAAACGTCAGCAGCCTTAAAACTTTATAGACCTCTGGGGCTTCAAGACCCCGTCGAGGAACCTCACTTTCGATAAGTCTGAGAGCTGAGAGCAAATTGAAGGGAGCTAAGTTAGTAGAAGGTCATAGCAAATGGAAGAGTTTTATTATAATGAAACTCTGGTGTTTCTTTCCCCCCTTAACTCACAGGTGTGTCTGGTTCCCAAAAATTAATTTTTCAGCCTGGAACTTTGAACACATTTCCTTGCAGGAAGTCCCTTGCGAATAGTGCAGGAGCCCAAGAGTGTACCATACCAGCTGGTGGTGTATCTATTACACTTTTCAAAAAAATTTTCTGATGTTTACTCATTTCTTACAGAGATTCTGTCTTCATCTTTTATAATAAAATTCAAAATACTAACTTTTTATATGCCGTTTATGTTGGAGTGATGGGTATGTTTGTTGAACTTTGAAATATGCCCCCTGCTACATTCGTTATCCACTGTAGTTCTCAGCCAGCCAGCAAGTGGGAGACATGTCCTCACTCCCAGTGCCACTCAGTAGGAAGCCCCGACTCTGTTCCTCACCAGGGAAACTCAGTCTCAAGATTTACTATTGTCCTGGAAACCTTTAAGTGTATATATTAAAAAAGAGAATGAAGATGAAAAAAATTATTTTTTATTTTCAGTGAACATGAAAAAATTATTTTATATAGAAAATACCTAATATTGGAGTCCTCCACACCTGATTGTAAAATAAAGGTGAGTCATCACTAAATTTTAACTGATTTAAAACTACGCTGGTTTTGTATTCTGTGTACTTATTTTCTGCTTGGTAGTGTTGTCAGTTTAACTTGGTCCCTGTTCTTAGTAGAGGAATAGCTTAGTAAACATGTAAAGAATTCTTTCCTAAAATGTTATCAGTATTTTTCTTATAAAAATTTGAACTTTTTTTAGCTATGGAAATGATATGTCATATAGTTGATAACATAGTCAGTATTTTTAAGCCTTGGAAAATGCAATAAAAAACATTTTTTATCTTTACATAAAACTTAGATGCCATGAAGTTGACAGACAATTCTGGCCCCAAAATTGGAGAAGTTTTAGACAAGAGCACCAAACTTAAAGGCATTGGACATGTACTTTTGGTTTGAAAAATATTAAGGTGAACTTTAGTGATGTCATCAGAGTTTGGGAAGGGTGCTGAGCTAGAATTCTTTAAGCCCTGACTACTGAATGAGCTCTGATGCTGACTAGCAGAGTAGTAGTGGATAGATTTCTCCCCCTGCTCCTCCCCACTTTGGGTAGAATTAGGATGTTGCAGAAAATAAATCCTTGAACTATTTTTGTCTCTAAGATTCTCTATTTTTATATTACTTATAGAAGAGTACAGAACCATCATTCCAAGACATAATTTTCTGTGGTATGTACTAAATTTTTCCTGAGCCACTTAAATGGAGTGATTTATTCATTCATCAAATATTTGAGTGCCTTTTCCTGTCAGTTATTCTACTAGGCATTTAGGAAGCAGCAGTAATAGAACAAATTGGAACAACTTCCCTCACATATAGTATCATAGTGGGTAATAAGGATAATAAGTGGATTCAATGTGCAAAATATTTACTACATTTGATAGAAAGGCAGTGGGGTTCAAAAAGCAGAAAGGGATAATACAAGGAGCATGTGGGTATGTAATTTAGTGAGGGGTTTACTTAGATGTTAATGACAGTCACTTCTTTGGTGCCACACTGAGTTTTTAGATAATGAATCTGTTGATTGAGAAATAATCATGCTTTAACATAATCAGGAAATAGATTTGATTATATGACTTATGATTCAAGTTCAAGAACTAGAGACAGTTCCTAGGTGTGTTCTGGCAGGGATTAGGGGACTTTTAAAGGAGCAGGAAGGGAAATAGTCTGGGGTTAGGTCATACATTGAAACTTTTGGATTGGTTCTTAAGTCTGTCTTTGATTGGTGGACACAAACCTTCAGACAGAAAGCTGTAATGTGTGTGTGGGGGTCTGTTGTCATGATTAGGTGACTCTTCTTGTTTCAGTCACCAAGTGCTGACACAGGCATCTTTCTTTTCTCTGGGAAGACTCAACATGGCAGCTTAGAGACAACATGCCGTCTCTGTGACCTAAGGCGGGGTCCATAGATCTGTATTCACCTGCATCTTTGTGTGTGTCTCTGAGGGCGAATTTTTTTGGTGGTGGTTCCGTGGCAGTACCTGAGAGTGCAGAGTCATTTACCTAGGTAAAGCCTAGGGTTTGTATGAAGACTTCTTTTGGCACTAGAGTAGGAAGATTAAAAATAGTTGTTATTGATGCACATTTTTGAGCGCATACTCATGTTACATACTAGTGATTTCAACACATAACCCTCAAGACCACGTGGCATCATTTTACTCATGACTCAGATTTTGGCACTTGTCCGTGGTCATACAGGCAAACTCGTAAGGCCCCTTCCCATGGTGTGTCACCAAACCTGAATTTGGTTTCTTATGAGACTGTCTCTGCCTTTTCTATCCCTCTCTTTATGTCCTTATTGTCTTGTGATGAGGATAAGCACATAGCCATTCCTTTGGAGGGAATTCCTCCAACATGTGGGTGTATGTTTGGTGTCTCCAAAGGTAGGTATACGCTGTCATCTTCCTAAGAATTTCTGGAATCATTAAATTCAGGTCTGTCTGATTCAATCCTGTCCCTTTCCACTTGCTACTTTGTAGCCCCATACCACACATGTCTTTTAAGGGGTTAGAAACTTACATAAAATGAGGCCGCATACAGCATGGGAAAAACTACTGGGATGGAGGCCAGAGAACTAGATTCAAAAGCTTTACTAACTGGGTGTTAAAATTTATCCCTGAAATCATCTTTTTTATTTGTCAACTTTTGGGGCCTCCCCGGTGGTGCAGCGGGGGCCTCCCCGGTGGCGCAGCGGTTGAGCGCTGGGTTGCGAAGCTGCCCGCGGCCTCTGCGGCGCCGGTTCAATCCCCAGCTGCTCCCCGGCCACCGGAGGAGGGTCCCACATGGCGCGCAGACCTCTCCTGCCGCCCGCTGCTCCCCTCAGCAGTGTACTTCGGTCCTTCTGCCTGCTCTGCTCCCCGCTCTGGCTCTGGTGAATTCTCTCACCCTCCCGCGCTTCTGACTGTACCCAGTGCATGTATAAACAAAACAAACAAACAGACAAACAAATAAATAAATAAAACATGCCTCTATTTAAAAAAAAAAAAAATAAAAAAAAATATTTGTCAACTTTTGAGCTATTATCATCCTGAATTCCTTTAAAGTTCTCAATTGTGAAATTTTGACTTTTATTCAGTATTTCAGTAAGTACTTTCCATGGGCCTCTGCGTAGCCTTATTTGTAGTGTTATAGCAAGTTGCAGTGGATTGAGGTCTGAGATTGCATAATTTATCTTTAATTCCTCAAACTAAGCAAGTAAAGTCTGTTATATGTGTAATGTTTTAAGGTTAACGGGGTTTTCAAAAATAGTTATTTTGAGCCTTTTTCTAGCAATGGCTGTTTTGGAGAAAACTTTCAAAAAAGTACTTGAAGTAAATTTTTAGATTTTTGAATACTTCACTGTTAAGCAGTAACATGAAATGGCAGTAAGTGATGATTGTTTTTCAGATCATTCTTTTTCTGACTTTTGTTTTATAATAGTTGCTCTCTTTTGGTGACAAGCAGTGTGTGTTCGTCAGTAAAGTCGTGGTCCACATCAGGCCGGTCTCGGTAAATCCCTCCCCAAGCTTTCCAGCTCTGGGGTCAAGGATCGACCTCGAGAGAGTCCAAACCATCATGGAGTCCATGGGCTCCAAGTTATCCCCTGGAGCTCAGCAGCTGATGCATATGGTTAGATTTCAGCAGCAGGTACGGAATCCCTTCCAGATGCACCGCAGGGGGAAGGTGGGGAGGGAGTTTAATTTGGGGAGTACTGATTTGTAGAGGTGGATAGCAGACACACGACCTGGGAGGATGGGAGCACAGAATTGGGGGAAATAGAGTGAACCTTGAGGAGGCTTGAGAGACTGTCCCCTAGGAGATGGTAGGGAAAGGTGGAGGGAGAGACTGGGCCAATAAAGAAAGACCCATGGAGAGGATCTGAGCCTGTGAGAATATGGGGCGAGGAGAGGGACCCCGAGAATAGAAGGCAGCAGCGTGGCCGAGCAGCTGCTGATTTGAGAAGGATTTGCTGTCAGGAGACCTGAATTCACATTCTGGTGCCAACACTGTTAGTTCTTTGTATATGTTACTGATTCATCTTTTTGAGGATAAATTTCTTCATGTTCCCTTAGCCCATAGGCTCCACGAGGTCAGGGATTTTAATATGTTCTGTTCGCTGTTGTATTTTCTTCCAGTGTCTGAAACACTTCCTAAACAGTAGATAATGGCTGAATATTGAATACGGGAATGTTGGTTTGGCTTAGTCTGACCCTTTTTTAGATTATCTAGATGAAGGTATAAACTGAGTTCCTTTAGCTAATCTTGAGTAATAATCTCAGTCCCTCTCTCCCCAGCTGTTGAGCTGCAGTAGTGTGGGATGCTCGCCCCTGGCGAGACTCTAATAGACTTACATGCTTTGAATTCAGGATCGCGCTTATGCCCTGACACTGAGTTAGGCTCAAGGTGGTTACACTTCTCTCCTGGGGAAAACCTAAAGGGCATGTTTGTAACCTCTCCAAGACAGGGCATTGGGAATCACGTAGTTTCTTCAAGATAAGGCAGAATCTTCTCAGGAAATAATAGTTGCATGAGCACTTGAGTTGAGGCCACATAACAGAAATCCTTATTATCTGGAAAGTCCTAAAGCAAACATAGCCAAGAGATGACTAATTTTAATCACTGACCGTGTCCCACATGTACCCATGTACACTTCACCTTCAGTAATGTGACTACCTGGGTGGCCTCCGTGAGCAACGTGTGCAGGAGATACACTAGGTGGCAAGGAACAGCTTTGCTGTACATTGACATTTGGGGACTGATAGACGTGAATTGTAAGAAAGTCAACAGTTTTCGTTACTCACCTTAAACTACCACATTTTATTAGTAATTAGGAAGCTTTTGTAGTGGAAATGTTAAAATATGCTCTTGCGGTTTTAGCTGGTTCCTTGGACACCACAAAGCATAGTCCTATTACCTTTGAATGATTAAAGTAAAGCTGGTCTAAAGCCAGCTCATTTTAGTCATTAAAAATGTCACAAGGTACATTGAACATCCAGCCTTCAGTAGACAACTACCTGGTGTATCTTCCATGGAGAGCTGTCGTAGACGATCTCCCTAGACTGGCTGGCCAACCTGAAAGTTGATGGTGATATTCCATTCCGTGAAATTGTTAGTTCCCGTGCCTCAGTTGAGAGGAACGTGCTTTATTACCATAATTAAGGAGACTCTTGTAGGGGAAACATTAAAATATGCTAATGCAGTTTTACTAAGTTTGCTAGTATCTCTTTCCAATATTTTCTTGATGGAAAACCACAGTAAAATGATTAAAAGCCCTGACTGCAAAGGTGGGTGGCCTGGGTTCAATCCTGTTCCTGCCACCTACCAGTGGTGTCACCCTAGCCAGGTTGCAGCCACTTAACATTCAGACAGTAATTGTAGCCGACTGCCTGTGGGAGTTTTGAGGATCAAATGAGAGAAGCATGTCGCCGGGCTCAGTGATTGCCCAGAAGTTAGCCGCCGTCATCACTAATGCTCACAGTAACCCTTACTTCATGCCTCGCTTAGAATCGCTTGCCCATCGGAGAGCAGCTCCAGTCGGTCTTGGGAAATGCTGGGTGCAAGCACGTGATCGAAGCCTCCCCTTCGGCCTTGGACACGTCCTCCTCCACGCCCTTCCCTTTTAGAACTGGACTGACCTCTGGAAGCTTGACTGAAGACTTCAAAGCTTGCCTTGGTGGAAGCACGCAGCCCCCTGGTGGAGGGCCCAGGGCGCCGGACCTTGGCGAGCGCACAGTTGTGCCACCGCGCCACTCTCTTCTTGAGAACGATCTTCAGCATGCCGTGTCTTCTCTCTTACCAAAGAAAGCAAGTGACGACTCAAATGTGCCTAGCTCTGACCTGCTGCCTTTCCTCCAGAACTTGTGTAGTCAGGTTAACCATCTGCGTGTGGGGCGTGACACCCCGTGGCAGGAAGCCCTCACCAAGCCCCGCGAGGGCGTTGCTGCTGTCCCGTAAGTATTTAAGACCGCGTGAGTGTGTTTGGTCGTGTGAGGGGGTAACGGAAAGGAAACAGACTTGTTGCAGTGAGTGCTGCTTGAGAATGTGTCTGGGGAAAATCTGGGGTGTGATTACGTTGTACTGTTAGTACATTTATTGGGTATAAATATTCTACCAAGGAGTGTTGGTTGCTTTGTGGAAGGTATGTACCCTTCAGACTGAGACTGGAATAGAAAACTACTTCATGGAATGGAGAGAAGCTTTGGGTCAAAATCTTTACTATGTTTTTATTTATGTACTGTTTTTTGACTGGGCATGTTAATTATGTCATTGTAATAGATTTTCTTTGTAGATTATGCTTGGCCTATGCTAATTTAGGCCTAAGCCATGTTAGAATTATAGTTATTTATGGTATATAGGAACTCCTATTCCCTGACTTTACAGTCCCATATTTTAATAGTACATGTTTAAGAGATGGTTCAGTATTTAATATGGTCCCTATCGTTTACATAAACACATGGTGTGTCAAAGTAGTGTTCTAGAATAAAATTTACAACTCTGGTAATAGTTTTGGCTTAACTGCTTTGCCACACTGTCCACTCTCCTTAACCATAGAGGTTTCATCTGAAAATGAGGCAGTTGGATTAGTTTGGAAATAAACAATATTGTCTAACAGGATCTAATTGATATTCATGGAAGACTCCACCAATAGTAGCAGAATGTATTTTTTTTTTTTTCAAAGATAGATTTATTTATTTATTTATTTATTTATTTATACAAGCACCGGCTACAGTCCAAAGTGTGGGAGGGTGAGAGAATTCACCAGAGCCAGAGCAGGGAGCAGAACAGGCAGAAGGATGAAGTACACTGCTGAGGGGAGCAGCGGGCAGCAGGAGAGGTCTGCGCGCCATGTAGGACCCTCACCCGGCGGTGGCCGGGGATCGAACCGGTGCTGCAGAGGCTGCGGACAGCTTCGCAACCCAGCGCTCAACCGCTGCGCCACCGGGGAGGACCCAGAATGTATTTTTTCACCCATGAAAGTTTCACAAAGATAGATTCACAAAAAATAGACCTGAAATAAACTAACCATACTTAAATGGATTGAAATTATGCAGAGTATGTTCTTTGGCCCAACTAAAAATCAATAGTAGACAACATGACAACTTCCAAATACTTGGAAATTAAACTTCTAAATGATATCTGTAGCTCAAGAAAAAGTTTCATTGGAAATAAAGAAAATGCAAGGACCTGAATGGAAATACAACAGATTAGAAAATTTGTGGGCGGCAGCAAAAGTGTTGAGAAGGGCACTTATACCACTAAATGCTTACATTAGAGGAGAGGACAGGTCTCTGTAACACAACTGCAACTCAGCCAAGATGTAGTAGATAATTTCAATAGTACTGTAACCATTAGAGAAATTGAAGTGATTCAGAAGTACAGCAAGGTAAACACAAGTCAGGCAAAAAGAAGGAAAATGACAAAGAGCAGAAGTCAATGAAATTGAAAACAAAAACAATAAAGTAAGTCACGACTACAGTAGTGGTTTTGTAACCTCTGGAAAAAGTTATTGTTACATATTCATGAGAATGTGAAGGTGAAAAGTTGAAATATCAGCTTTGTGTGTTATAAAAATACTTTTGACCTTATGAAAACCCCTGAAAAAAGTATGGATACCCCAAGATTTTGTGGACCACACTATACAATTTAGTGTTTTTCATTGTGAATCCTAGAAACTAGTGTGCTTTTTATTTTGTTTGTATTTTAGTTTGTCCATTCTAGTTATATTTAAAATGTTTTCATATTGGATTAGAAAGAAGGCTTCCAGTTATTTAATAACGTTGTTTGGATGAAAAAGGACAAATTTAAATTGTAGACTCCTTGGGGGAAGTACTTGGAAGCAATACATGGAGACCTTGAAAATAGTTTTGGCAAGATCAGTTTTGATTTGCAAATCAAAATAAAAAAGATCCTTTCTAAAGACTTGTTCTTTGCAGGATCATCTTCACTTTCTATATCCTCATTTCTACTATATACTTAAAATGTTTAAAGACTGAAAGAAATAGAATGCTTTGGGCATTCAGGATTGTGGTTGAATATGTAATTTAGAACATGGAAATATGTTGTAGGGAACACATTCCTGGAGACAAATTTCAGCAATTAGGCTGCTCATACAGGTGGGTGATTTGTTCTAACAAGAGGGATAATTGTTCTATTTTTTTTTTTTTTTAATTTATTTTAGAACAGAAGAGAAACCCCTGTGCTCTTACTTGGAAAATATTCTCTCTAAAAACATGGAACTGATGGAGAAGAAGCTGACAGGCTACATAGATCAGCGCCTGTGTCGGCTCCAGGAGCACCTGGATAACAAGATTGCTCTGCTGGTGGACTTGGTGCAGAACCCTGGCTCCCCCCACTCTGAGCTGCCTCTCAGACACTGTGACTCTGGAGAAAGGCTCTCCAATGGAGAAAGATGAGCCCGCAGCATGTACAGTGTTCCCCAGGTATTTATTCCGTATTTATTACAAAGTGAATACTCCAAAAAAGTTTGTGAAGAGCAGATATTTAATATCCTTTGAAGGATCACCATTTACTTACATAAGTGACCTCAGTGTTCATTTTTACTGCACTTGATGTTGTAAACCAGTACTGTACACTAAGAGTTAACACGATAGGTCATCGATTATTTTTGTTTTGCAATATTTTTCACTCTTAACAGAAATATATGTGTACTTTTGGTTGCTTGAGTGTTTAAAATTTTTAAGGATTTCCAATGCAAGTTATTAGTTTGTATTATATATACATGTTTGATAGAAGTGCATTTTTTATTTATACAAATACCTTATTTTATATTCTTAGGAATATGAAAAATAATGGTTAGATGTTTGATAATTTTTCTTTTTATAATTGATTCTTAGGAAATTTGCTAGTTAAGACTTGAAACCTTTAATTCAGATCACTAATTTATATTTTGTATTTAATCTCAGATAATGAATAACCTGCAGTGTTTGGCTTGTGTAAAATACTATCTTGGGACTATTAATTTTATTTGTTTCACTACAACATGACAGTAGATAGAAAAGTAAAAATCAGAACTGCCCTATTCCGTGTTAGGATTATTATTTTAGATTCAGGGCTTGACATAAAATGAGAGAAGTCATCTTGTTTTACCTCAGTAAACCCAGAAAGTATAAGGAACACTCTCATTCTATTTTTTTTTACTTTTTGAGCTGAGACAGGGTCTTTCTGGAGCCATTTTTCAGTATGTTTAAAGTGTCAATGCTGAGGCTCTGCACTGAAGGATTAAGGCTGCAAAGCAAGGAATTTTTTCTGGTACACTTAATTTTCAGAAATTATAACTATTGTCTCTGTTGATGTGTGATGTGTTTGCATTTAAAAAATAAATGTATTGTCTTTGGAAACCATTTATCTTAAATAAATAGAAATGCTTTATTTTCAAACAGTCCTTAAAATATTTTTATGAAAAGGATTAATGTTTTAGTGAATTTATTTTGCAAAATGAAGGCTAATTGTTATTGTTCATTGTTAACACACTTCAGAGGTAACACAGTTGCCTTAGACCAATCGCTTGCACGTGTCATGTCACTCTTTGTAGCCTTCCTGACTTATAGCTACAAGGTAGTATTTCCTTTGACATCAAGTAAAATGTCTCGCCTTACTTCAAGGGGAACCCTTAAGCTTCTGGTAGTTGTGGGAACCCTTAAGCTTCTGGTAGTGTAGCGTTTTTGTTGATTTACAAAATGCCTCCCTTGGATTCTAGCTTTGAATCACTACATTTAGGCCAAGGACTCCTGACTGAAAATAGATGCAGTTAGTTGGAAACTGAGTGGTTCATTCTATATGTATTGCATGACGCAGTGTTGTAATTGGGGGTCAAGCTGATGATCATTTTATGAAGTAATGTTTGGAAACATGAAATTTGATAAATTCATGATTTTTCTACAGTCTACAAAATTTTATGCATTTATGATTTTGTTATATTAGTTTAAGTAGAGCACAGGGACCGACCAGTGGGTGGTGATTCAACAAAAACCACAAGGAAAATTGGAATAGAGGTTTGTTGGAAGGAAGCAGATGATAGGCTTTGGGGGACCATGTGGGAAGTCAGGACAGGGTGCCAATCTGAGTCCATTCCTAGGGTGCATCTACTGTTATTAGGGTTCACAGTGGAGTGCTTTGGTTCCTGGGATAAGTCCAGATGGGTCAACACAGTCTCAAGAGTGCAGCAGATTTGGTGAACCTCAGTGGTGGGTGAAGAGGAGGCTCTGGGAGGCAGGAGAGACTGTTTATACCAAAGGCTACTGGGAAGTGGCATTGGAAACTTCCAGTTTAATGGGATCATCGCGTCTCCAAGTGGAAGTAGTCCTCCCCCCGGGGCTGAGACCTCCCAGCCAGCAGAGTAGGTAGCCGGCACAAGGAGCAAACATTTGCGAGTGGGTCACCGGGGTGACAGTGGCGCCACTCCCGCTTCCACCGCCTCATCCTGCACTTGTGAGTCCTGGCTCTCGGAGAAATAGTGCCACATACAGGGTGCCGACTCAGAGTGTGCAAGCCTTGCAGAGAACCTCGCCCCCTCCTGCAAGGAAAACTGGAGTATTGCCACCTGGCTGGCCCCGTGATGGAGGCTCCCAGAGGCCATCCCGCCATTCTAGAAGACAGTTGTGTAGACACACTGTCTAAACTGCAGGTTGTGGCCTGAGCGAACAACAGCCCTGGGACGGAATCAGAAGGAAACCCCTCATGGTCTGGGCCGGGCGATGCCCCTTGCACTTGACTGCTGTCTGGTAAGTCTGGGAGGGGTGGTTCTTTGCGGGCCTTGGCTTTCCAAGGTGTTTGTCTTTGCGGTGATTAGTGCCGAACACAGGGCCTGGAGTCCACTAGCTACCATGGGCGATGTCCCTGGTGTTAATTTTGTCATCTCACATGATCCTCTAAACGCAGGCACAGCAATAAACTCAGACACGGGAATAACCCCTGACACAGGTTCTTCTGCTCCTGTTAAGTGTGCTTCAGCCCATTTTCTGAGTTCAGTGGACACAGTGGCTTGCTTTTCTGACAGGACAGCAAACCCAGCCCATGGGCACGGGGACTGGTGGTGGTCACGGCCAATTGGCAGACCAGGCCTGGCTCTGCTCGGTTTTACCTGCTACTCCCACCACCTCAGCCCAGTCCTTCCACCACTGACCTTTGTGACCTCTGGCAATGCCCACTTGTCCCCCACTCACCCTGCTACTTTTCTGAGCCGGGTGTGCACCTCAGCTGGGAGGTCTTCAAGGGAATCTAGCTGCTTGCAATTTAGGAAGGAGGCTGTTGGTTTTGGGTTTTCATTTTACGTGCCGAAGACGTCCCCAGCACCCTGCACATGGAGACAATTCAGTAGTGCCGAGAGTGGGGGAGCCTGAGGTGTAAAGATGGAGGGTTGGGCAAAGGCTGTGAGCGCCGCTGGTGGGATTCACTTTGTGGGGTGATCATGTTCCGGGGGCTTGTTTTGTGGCAAGAAGGATTTTCACGGAGGTCAGTTACTTGGTCAAGCGCCCGTCCTGTGACTGACGCCTGGGGCAGGTGAATGCACACACCCTGGTTCCTATGAAATTGCATTTCTGGTGGCAGAGAGCAGTGCCGGCCCTAGACACTCGGGGTGAGGCTGAGAGCCCTGTCCTCAGTCCAGGTCACCGCTGCCCGTGCAGACATGCGTGGCCAAGTCCCTTCTGCCCTCAGGGCCAACTTCATGTTCAACGGGTCTGGAGGAAACAAAGGTCTGGATATACAGTGTGCCCTCAGGTGTCAGCACAGGGCCAGGCTTGAGGACATTTGGGTCTTTGTAAAACCTGAAAGGAACATGTCCATTATTTTCAGTATGAAAGGGAAGCCTCCGTGTATAAAATCCAGGCAGAATTTAGCACTAGGGAAGCGATTTCCCTTTGTTGGAGACAAGCGTTTTCCTTTCTGCCCAGGCTGCCGTGAAAATCGAGTCTGAAGTTTTAGATTTCAGATGGTTTTTATTCTTTCATCCCAAGCACCTAGCACAATCCTGTTCTATTGTTTCCATGTCTTTTTCCTTTCGACTTTAATGCCTTCTATTGCCTCATGATGTCAGAAGCATGGGTGTAAGTATCCTGTAACAAAACCAGCGGCGGAGACCATTGTCTTGAGTATCACATTTATTTAAACACGTTATATAGCACATCTGTTAGTATAGTACACTATGGAACTCGACTAGACTTCTCCAAACATCCTACTAAGAAATATTGCTCGTGCAGATATTTAAGCCCACTTATGTCAGAGGCCTTCATTTACGTCACAGGTGCCGTCACAGGTGCCCTCATTTACGTCACAGGTGCCGTCGTTTACATCACAGATGCACGGCAGCAGGGGGTCTACGTCAGCATACAAGTTGCATTGGTCACAGGCCTGAAGGGTGGGATAACAGGCCGTGATGGAGGCGGTCCCGGTCACTTTGTCCTCGGGGACGAAGGCTGGAGTATTTGTTAAAGCCAAACAGCCAGGTAACTTTGGAGGTCTTAAGAAGACAGAAACAAAAGATGGTTTGAGAAGTTTTCTTTTTGGTCCATTTGCTCCCATTGGCCGGGGGATCTGGGAAGCTCAGGGCTGGAGCCCAGCAAACACGTGGCGCGGCCTGAGGTACAAGCTGTGCGCCTGCCCCACGTTCCTACCTAGTCCCTCCTCCTAGGATTGCTGGATGGGCCAGACCAGGTCACAGCAAAGGAGGGGCAGCGGGTCAGCCAGCTCAGCCCCGCGGGCCTGCCAGCTGCAGAGCACGCTGGGAAGGTGCCCCCGTGGGATGTCCCCAGGTTCTGGGCTTGACATCCCAGCTCACAGGCTTAGCTTCCCTGCAGTGGGAGTGTTAGGGGGAAAAGGCTGTCCTAAAGCTAATTCCATACAGGCTTTGTGGACTCCACCCCCACCCCAGGCCAAAGACACTGGGAACTCCAAATCCCATCCCCACCCAAGGGAAGGTGGCTGGGACCTGAGGATGGGGTTCAGCAGCCAGGTTGGTATAAAGCCAGACACGTGGGCTTTGGGGATCCCCATTTTGGCTCTCCGCCAGCTCGCAGCGTCCGGCCAGCTCTGAGAGTGCCTTTGGGTTTCCAGGTCGGCGGATCGGGTAGGACGCATTAAAGACTTTATTTCCCTATTTTCTCCCTGAGTTGTACATTTTCCTTATTTCCTTTTCCCTTGTAAATAAACCTTTTATGAACCTTTTGTGTGTGCCTGCAGTGAGTATTCATAAGTCCCTTGTTAGCGCGCGGGTGAGGACCCACAGCCAGGAACCCGTTCAATATCGGGGCTGCCCTATAACAGCAGCACCACTGCTCTGACCACCCAGCTCTCCCACACGGGAAGGTGCTCCTTCCCCCAATCTAATTTTCTTGTCTGGTCTACACCCCCTGGTCAGGTGTCCCTCAGCCCTTCACTTAGCTCAGCTTCCCCAGAGACCTCGAGGCCACCTTGCTGTCCCCAAGGCCCTGGGCATGGAGGTGGGACACCCCGAGAGCTCCCCACCCAGGCAGGAGGGGGCGGGCTCAGCCTGACATTTGGGTCAATGTGAGGCAGGGACCTGTTCATGGAGCCCCCAAGTTTCCAGCCTGCAGGGCCTGGGACAGCAGGGCCTGGGACAGCAGGGCCCGGCCCAGGCCCCTTGAGGAGGTCAAGTGACAGCAGAGGCGCCAGCTGTGAACTCCTACCTGTGAGCTCACAGCCCCAGGCTGGAAGTCCTCACTCACCCGCCTTTGCTTTTCCAGCCCACCCGACCGCCTGCCATTTTGGCAGCAGAGCACCGGGGTGTTCAATTGAGGGGGGCTAGTCCCTCTAACCTGTGCTACTTACTTTAGTGCGTTGGCCACTTTGCAGTAGAGACAGATGACAGCACACAGCAACAGGAAGAGGAGAACTAGTAAAGTGGAACCAATGACGACCATGATATTGAAATTCATCATTCTCGGATACCTGGGCAGGAGAGCAGGCAGCAGTGAACGTGGCCCCCCGCCCCCACAGGCCCCACAGCCCCCCAGCAACCTCAACATGCTCCCTCTAGTTGCAGGAGAATGAACCCCTGACCACAGGATCTTTCTTCATTTGAAACACAGTCTGCCTAGAGGCCTAGGATCCCAGGCTGGCCCAAAGTTGCATAAAAAAGGTTTGTTTGTGGATGAGAAAGGGACTGAGATGCAAAATCCAGAGAGATGGGATAGGAGAGAGTTGGAAAGACCCCTCATGGGCAGCAGGCGCACCCTAACGTGACAAACAGGTGCAACTGCAAACAGCACTTTGGTCACTGAACTATAGTCACTGATAAAATCAGAACTGACCCCTCACCTTGTCATCAGGCTTAAAAATATTTTATAGGATTGCCTAGGGAATGATGTCATGCTGTGCGGTACTGAACATGCAGACTGCCTTTTGGTTCGTCATAGGAAGAAAGTTTGCAGTTCTCCCGCTGACAACGGTCACGCCATGTCAGGACTCCAGAGCGCACCCAGCCAGAGCCTTCC